ATAATATCATAGGTGAAATGACTAAGTCAGAAAGAGTATGAATTCCCCAGTGCCCTGGACTCTTCAGAGCTCACAGCGAATGATGCTTCATCGGATGAAGGCCAGGGGTGTGATTCAGAAGGGAAACAGTAGGCAGTTTGAGTGTGTTGGTTTTCTATTGCTGTGTAAAATTTTCACAAACTTAGCAACTTAAAACAACACAAATTTATTATTTTGCAGTCTCCATGGTCAGGAGTTGAGGCCCAGTTTAACTGAATCCTTGGTTAGGTGGATACTGAGCTATCAGCCAAGGCTCCAGTTTCACCCCAGGCTCAGGGTCCTCTTCCAAGCAAGCCCATCGGTTGCTGGCAGGATGAAATTCCTTGTGGTTGTAGGACAGAGGTCTCCTTTTCCAGCTGGCTGTTCTCTCGGCTCCCAGAGGCCTTCCTCAGTTCCTAGCCACCTGGCCTTCTCACAGCTTCAAAGCCAACAAAAGAATTTCTGCTTTTAAAAAATGAAGTCACGGATACTGTGACAGAGTATCAGGAGTGAGCATCTCATCTCCTTGGCAGCCGTCAAAGCCTGTGCTCCCTGTGATGGCTCGAGGGACCAATCCAGGGAGCAATGTCCCATCATATACAGAAGGGGAGGATCCCATAGCTTACGTGCACCATGGGGTGGGGTCTGGGGCTGTCTCAGAACTCTCTCTTGCATTTTGTGGGCCTCATGGAACTTGAAGCACCCTTCGTTTTCAGGTGACTACACTATAGAAAGCACAGAGTCTTCCAAATTCCTTTGCCATCTTCTAGTTTTAGGTTAATGGCTGACAATCCTGATATCACTCTTCTTGGAGCAGGTTCAAGTGTGGTTATAGCAGAGTGCCTGACTTCTTTTCCACTCCCACCCCTCATGACAGGTCCCTCAGTGGCATGGAATCCCCCTCACTCAAGGGAAATGTCAGAATCTTTATGGGTTTGCACATATTTTGAGAAAATTAAAGACTGGAAAAGTGAGAGTCTCACTTCTCCCTCTGCATATTTGAGAATGTCTAGGATAGAGGTATATTTGGTTGCAGCAAAAGTATTAATGTGAGCAAACTTCAAAGAGATGCTTGGAGGTCTGAAAACTGTGGTAACCATCACAGAAGCCATTCCCTGTGGTGATGGGGTATAAGGAGGATCCTCCTGTTGTAGAATGACAGGATTGGAGCTCATCATCTGGTTGGTGATATGAAGCTGAAGACAATGGCTAAAGCTATGTAGCCACAAACCAAAGACTGCTTGAGGCTTCTAGACCCTAGAATCTTCAGAGGGAATCCACATTGCTAATACCTTGATTTCCACTTCTAACCCTCAGAACTGTGAGAGAACAGATGTCTTTTATTTTAACCACTGAATTTGTGGTACTTTGTCCCCTCACCCGCACCCTTAGAAAATTACTAGAGGGAAGGAGAACATTCAAGTTCAGTGCAGACATTTCAGGTCAGGTGTACCTGTGAGACCATCTGGGCGTGGCCTTTGGGCAGCTGAAATGTAAGAAGAGAGGTTGGAATTAGAGGTTGATTTGAGAGGTACCTGCAAAGAATGGTCATGGGCAAATCAGAAACAGATGAGATGTCCAGGGGCAAAGTTTTGGAACAAGAAGAGGATGGAGGGATCACTTCCACTGAAGGTGGAAGAGGGATTGAGCAAGAACTGCTGTAAAGGACAGAGGAGTTGCTGGGTCATTTCAACCTCTGTAGGGGTCTCTAGGGTGCAGATGAAAAAAAGTGTGCTGATTTGGAAATGTTTTGCAAATCAGTCATCTCCATACCAAATTGTAGTGGTTGAGAAGAGGTCGAGAGACCAAAAGAGTAGAGTGACCAGCACTGACTACTCTTTAAATATATTTGATTGTAAAGACAGAATTGGGGTTGGTTATAGATAAAGGAAGAAACAAAGAACTTTGTGATCATTTATTTTTTTAAGAATATTTTTTCAGGCTGTGGGAAGGAGGCAGGGAGAAGATGTAAATTATCACTGAGACAAGGTTCCAAAGAAGCATCTTGGGAATGTTTATTATTACTGTGCACCTGTGACATGCCAAGTGCTATGCTGGGCCTTACCTGCCTGACCTCATTGATATTCTCCACAGAGAAGAGTATTATCCCCATTCTATAAATGGAGAAACTTAGGCTGGGGCTGATAAAAGAATTTGCCCAAAGCGCACTGTGTCTTGGATTTGAGCCTAAGTCAACTGGTTCAAATGTGTCAGGGCTTTTCTTCATATTATTTTGCACTGGGAAAAAGACATCTTTCTCTGATTCACCAAGAACAAGAAGTATAACTTAATACGCAGAAGTTTTGCAGTGGATGAAAGGGAAGTTGTAGGTGTTTCTGTCACAGCAACTATGTTCTCGTCAAAGCCTAGATCAAAATGATCAGTTGTGAGATAGGAAGGGCAAAGCCAAGTGCTGGGGCCTAACACTTATAGATTTCTAGGATTTGTGTGCTGGAATTTTTACAACCACTAGCCTGCATGGGACATGCAGAAGTTTATCTTAAGATGGACATCTTACTGGAAAGAGTTTAATGACAGGTCTGAAAATGCCTAGAGCTACAGACTTCTGATTTTTAACTTTTTAGGCACTTGCACACTCCAGGACTTCAAGAACTAGCTGTCAGGTATCCCAAAGGGATTAGCAGAGAAAGCACTGACCAGCCTGGAGTTGGCCCATCCGGTTCCCATCCTTCCGCTGCCACAGGCAGGTGCGCTCCCAACCTCAGGGCAAGGTTGCCATTCTGACATGAAAATAACCTGAGTCTTTGACTCAAAAATAACAGCACCTGCTAATTTGCATAAGAGTTTTGCATTTCATATTTGAGTTTAATACCCCAAATGCTAAGATTCATTTGTTTGACCTAGTTTAGTGGTTTTGGAGGTTCAACTGATGCAAAATCCTTATGATTTTCTACATGGCACCCCCTAGGTCTACTCACACCCTGCATGGCCCTGTTGTCCCGCCACTCATTGGATTGGCCCTCAGATGAATAATGGGTTTAAAAGTACAGAATTGATCCACTTGAAGGCTGATTATTTTTAAGAGGGCCTCTAGGCCAAGACCCTCATGTTTATGAGTCTCTCAAAGGTCTGCTGGGGGCTTTGAATTCTCCAGGGTCTCAATAAGCAGACCCTCCTAGAACCCTTTGGAACAGGGCATGAGGGCCTCACTTACCAAGTGAGAGGTTGGAGAGAAATCAGCAGAAAAGGTGTTAATGAATAATCACAGGGCCTCATTCTCCATAAAGGCAATCGTTGGGATTGATTGTTTCTGTGTTTCCTTAGTCACGGTTCAGATTGCTTATTTCACTCAGATTCAGACAGATGGATGCAGAATGCACACAGGCATGTGATGCCAGGAAAATTATCCCTAGCATGTCCAAGACCTCTGCCTTCTCATACGGATGCCCCCGGGGCTCTAAAACGGAAGCATGGTCATGGTGGGGATGGAGCCCAAGAGATGAGGGCAGGTGTTTGTGGACTTTTGGATTTTAGACGGTACACTCTGTTTCCTTCCCATGCATGGGAGAGTGAGCTGATTTTCCAACTTGAACAAGTGAAACATAAATTGCTGGACCCCACTCTAGGGTTTCTGATTCAACTGGTCTAGTGTGCAGCCTGAGAATTTCCATTTTTAACTAGTTTGAGGGTGATGCTGCTGTTGCTAGACCAGACACGCCCTGTGAGAAGCACTGGGGTAGTAGTCAAGAGCATGGACACTGGGACCAGCCCACTTTGCTTTCACACCTGACTCTAGATGCATAACTGTGGTTATGGGTCATTTATTTAACCTCTCTGTGCCTCCATTCCTCATCTTGAAAGCAGGGGCGATGATAATAATAACAGTACCCACCCCTTAGGATTGTTGCAAAGAATACATGAGAGAGAATCTGAAAGTATTCAGACTGTGCTGATGTTGAAAGCACATTCCCTGAGTAAAAGATAAGTACATAAAGACCCAGCCTCTTGGGACTGTGATCAGATCAAGTGAAGTCTCATTTCCCCAACACCTGCAGCTCCCAGTGGACTCCCTGGGTCATTTTACCCATTAGCCTTCCAATCCTATATCCAAAAAGTAATGGCCAGCTCAGTGCTAGCTAGCAGGAGGGTAGTTACACCAACATTTGTCAAAATCCTCTTCTCAAGCTGCCTTACCTCTTAAGATCTACTGGATACACAAAATGAGACAATCTGGAACACTAGGGCCGAGCTGCAGTCCGGGTTTGTAGTGTCCCTCATGCAGCCAGCAAGAGGGGCTGCCTTTTCTGGTCAAGCTCAGCTGCAGCCTCATATGGATCACTGAGTTTTGTTGAATGCTAACTTAGTGCTCAGCATTATTTATATTATATTTACATATTTTTATATGTGTGTGTTATTTTTGTTATTTTGTTTTGAAAATTAAACCCAGGGCCTTACACATGCTAAGCACACACTCTGCCACTATATTTATGCACATCATTTTATTTAACCTTCACAATGCCATTCTTAGTTAATAATTATAATTCCTGTTTAATACTGCTGAGGTTCAGAGAAGTTAAATGACTTATCCAAAGTCATATTAAAAGCCAGTTCTGACTAACTTTTAAAGTTCTACTGTACTACCTCCCTAACTTTATATGAATATTTATATAAAAGTTAAAGCAGACCCCCCCATTTATCCAATAGTGGCAGTTGCTCCCCAGGGTTAGCTCTCCAGAACAGAGTTGACCTCTGTTTTAGGGATTTGCTTTTCCAAAGCTGGTGGCAGGACCCACAGAACGTATTCCTGTTGGGTTCTCTCTCTGGCCTGACTTCTGGAAGAAATTGTGTTCATGCTCCTAAAGGTGGCTTTTCGTAAGTGCATAGGGATATCGCCGTAGTAGATCAACACTTCTGCTCTAGAGCCGTGCTCCCAACCAAATGGTGAGGAGAGCAGAGGCTGTACTGAGCATGTGCAGAGCAGAGAGAGCTTGTGCTAATGCATGTTTGTTTTTTCTCCATAGTGTTCCTTTCTGCCGAAATTCTCCATTCATATAGAAACCAAGTATGAGGACAACAAAGGAAGCAACGACAGCGTGAGTAGCCCTCTCGTTCTGTGCTATGCTTGCCTCTTGGGCTCTGAGTGTCCCTCATATGGTCGGGGCCAGCACCAGCATCTGGAACCGGGACCCCAGAAATGTTCTGGCCTTAGATCTCTGAGGGTTATTTCCCTGGGATTTCTCCCTGGAATTATTGTGTGGCCTAGCTTTTCTTTTTCTCATCTGTATGTACCTTCCATATGTACATACATCTGTATATACCTTTATGGGCCTCTGCATAAATCTCTGCAGCCTGGAAAGGACAAAAGGGAACTCAGAACTCCAGAATCTGGTTCCTTACTGTTAGATTTAGAACACATCTTCCAATGACCATTAATATTTATTTAGAATAATGAATATATGGTCTGGGGATGTGGCTCAAGCGGTTGCGTGCTCGCCTGGCATGCGTGCGCCCTGGGTTTGATTCTTAGCACCACATACAAACAAATATGTTGTTTCTGCCGAAAACTAAAAAAAATAAATAAATATCAAAATTCTCTCTCTCTCTTTCTCTCTCTCTCTCTCTCTCTCTCTCTCAAAAAAAAAAAAAAAGAAAGAAAGAAAAGAAAAATGAATATCATCCAGTACACATGGGCATGCTGTTTCTGTTGGCTGGACTATGCTTATGTTCACATATATGTGCATTCACACACATATCCCACATGAAAACTAGGATGAACCCCTGCAAAATGTTTACCTCGTGAGGCATTCAGACTCCAAACTAGATTTTAGCCAAGTACATTGTTCATTAACATTGCTTAAAATCCATCTTCTAACCTGGCTTTTATCCCAGATTCTTTGGGGTGAGATGATTCTAAATTCCCGTCTTGAGAGTGAACATTTTGATGTAGCCAGGAGGCTCACCTAAGATAGGATGTGGGTTCCACAAGGACCTGTCAGGAAAAGAGTTTGGATCAAGAGGCTGCAGGGATTCACCTGCTCATTTCTACCTCATTGACATGTTTTGCATTTGTAGAAGATAAAGATTGGTGCTATGTCAAAATGGACAAGATTAAGAGTTTTGTTTTGTTTTGTTTTGTTTTGGGGGTACCAGGAATTGAACTCAGGGACACTCTGCCCTATTTTATGTTTTATTTAGAGACAGGGTCTCACGGAGTTGCTTAGTGCCTCGCTTTTGTTGAGGCTGACTTTGAACTTGCAGTCCTCCTGTCTTAGCCTCCCGAGCCACTGGGATTATAGGTATGCACATATATGTTCACATACGTGAATGCACACATATGTGAACATTATAGGTGTGCACTGAGCCTGGCGAGAAAGAGTTCTTGACAAGTTGACCTCTTTGGTGCCTTGACTGAGGTGAGGCAAAATAGGACACAGGGGGTGTGGGGGTACCAAAGAGCCATAGGACAAAAGCTCAGGTCTCACACTCCCTCAGCTTCAAATCAGTCACTGAGAAACTAGGAAACCCGATAGAAGGGACATTGGCCAGGCCCAACCTTTGGTTGTTTGTATTGATCTTCTAGAAATATCTGGGCAGAATTATATTCCTCTAGGAGGTACTGACGTATTTGTGAGGTAGACACTATGTTAACTTACAGGTTGGAGGGAGTGAACAGCAGAGGCCTGAGCCCTGGGACACTTTTTATGTGACCTGGCAACCTGACTGTTCTTCTGGGCTACTTTGTTCAGGACATTCTCCCCAACTCTGGGGACACAGGATGTCTCATTTAAGGTGGAATCTACTTGGATACAGCTTGAGAAGTTCCCAAGAGGTGACACTCAAGAACTACATTTTGGGCTGGGGATGTGGCTCAAGCGGTAGCGCGCTCGCCTGGCATGCGTGCGGCCCGGGTTCGGTCCTCAGCACCACATACAAACAAAGATGTTGTGCCCGCCGAAAACTAAAAGATAAATATTAAAAATTCTCTCTCTCTCTCTCTCACTCTCTCTTAAAAAAAAAAAAAAAAAAAAAAAGAACTACATTTCACACCAGCTCGGTAGAAGACAATCATTCATTCATTTCTTACTCAGCAAGGGTGGATCAAGCTCATTCTATTAACATGTCCCTGTATGAATTACATGGATGGTATTTAAAATGCAGACTCACTTTCCAAACTTCGATACTCATAGTTTATGTGGAGGACAAAGACCAACATATTAAATGGCCAAAGCTTGTGCTTCCTTTTCTGTGAAGTCATCTCTAATCAACCCTTCACTTGAGGGTGGGGGGATCTTATCTAATGACTCACCTATTAACAGGAACTTGTACCTGATCACTTAGCTTCTTGAACTGTGCTGGGGAAACTGGAGTTCTTCAGAGATTGGCAAACTGCATTCTCTGTAAATAAAGTTTTATTGGAACACAGCCACACTCATATTGTAATATTGTCCCAGCTGCTTCTCAGCAGCAGAGTTGAGTAGTTGCAAGAGACATCACATGGCTGCAAAGCCTAAAATATTTCCTACTTGGTGCTTTCAAGAAAAAGAAAAAAAAAAAAAGATCACCAACTCCAGGTTCAGAAAAACTCAGATCAGAACAGCATTCACCAGATCTCAAAACTGCATCACTTGAGCCATCTCCCTGCCAGCTGTTGCAGCCATATGCCTTATCCCAGAGTTTCGGGAACTTTCCAGAGGAAAGAACACTGCTGCCTGGAGTGCTCCCCTCCCACTAAATATGTGAACCCCGTGTTTGGTATTCCCTTAGGGTGCTGACCCAAACAGGAACTTTTGGACCATCCCATCAGCAGCCTGAAATTAAAGGCAGGTTGCTGGCCAACCTCCTCAAAATCACAACAGCATCGTTAAGTGTTTAAAGCTTAAACTTAAACCCTTGTAAAATAATGGCTTTTTTTCTGATTGGGAAATTAATACACAGTTTTTAAAAGTTGAAAAATGTAAAAAAAAATGACAAAAGTTTAAAGGAAGGAAAAATCAGTAGTAATCACTCAATTCAGAGATGATTGCTGGTAACATTTTGGTTCACGTTACTGGTTGTTATTCTTTTTTTAATATTTATTCTTAAGTTTTAGGTGGACATAATATCTTTATTTTACATTTATGTGGTGCTGCAGATCGAACCCAGTGCCTCGTGCATGCTAGGTGAGCACTCTATCACTGAGCCACAACCCAGCCCCCTGGTTATTATTCTTTAACCAGTTCCTCCAAAATTGAATCATGTAATATACTGTTTTTAACAAAGCATGATGCCCCCTCCCCATCTGCTTTTTTTTTTTTTTAAGGTCTTCTTCAATTTCTTCTTAAGTCTTTTTTTTAATATTTATTTTTTAGGTGTAAATGGACACAACACAATGCCTTTATTTTTATGTGGTGCTGAGGATCGAACCCGGGTCCTGCCCATGCTAGGCGAGTGGCTCTGCCCCAAAGCACCCCATATGCTTTTTAATGACTGCACTGCCCTCTGAGCTCTGCTCATTGGATATTAAAGTAGGCCTGACCATTCTGACGTAGCTGTGCTTCCTACGTCAGAATGGTCAGAAAAAGTTTGATGAGATCAGATTAGGCATCTGAGTTGCTTTTCCTGGCACAGTCAGAAAATAGGAGGGGATATTTTGCTTTAAATTATCTTTTTAGTCTTTCTAAAAAATTCCTCTGTTTTCTCTCTTTTCTCTATGCCTCTCAGATCATCTCTCCAGGTGTTAGAGGTACAGAGAGGAGGACATGGTGACCATTGTAGGTTGATGGGACCCTGTAATTTTCTGCTTTATCCTCTCTTCATTTCAAATAGTCCAAAAAAATCATGAAATTATCATTTATTTTCGTGTATCCCCTTTTGACAAGTACTAAGTTCTTTTTCCTACTCCTTTAGAATTTGGCTTTTTTACTTTCCCTTTCTAGGACTTTGGTTACCCTTTCCAACGTTTCCAATACAAGGAAATGATAAACGATAAAGATAAAAGTTCCCGCCCTGGGATATGGCAGTTTACCTGACCTGATCAGAGCACATTGTACACATATTGAAATATCATACTGCACCTCATTAATATGTACAATTATGTCTCAATTAAAACTTTTAATTATTTTTTTTGGGGGGGTACTAAAGATTGAACCCAGGATGCTTAACTACTGAGCTATATCCCCAGCCCTTTTTATTTTTTTCTTTTGAGACAGATTCTTGCTAAATTGCTTACGGCCTCACTTAGTTGCTGAGGCTGGCCTTGAACTTGGAATCCTCTTTCCTCATCCTCCCAAGTTGCTGGGATGAAAGGCATAATAAGTCACCCTGGGACTCAAATATATTTTTTAAAATATGTATTATTTAGTTGTAGTTGGACACAATATCTTTATTTTATTTGTTTATTTTTATGTGGTGCTGAGGATGGAACCCATCGAACCCAGGGCCTCACACAGGCAAGGCGAGCTCTCTATTGCTGAGCCACAGTCACCAGCCCCTTAAGTATTTTTAAAATATCAAATTGTCCACCTTAGAATCAGGGGATGCTGACTCCAAGATGGACGTCCCTTGCTGATGCCAAGAACTGGGCCTTTTTGAGCCTCAGGCCGGCCTGCAAGAGAAGCACTAACCCTCAGGCAGAGTGAGGACTGACTCTGGAAGAATTGCCAGCTGTTGTTACCTGTGCTGCTGCCTCCTCCCCAGCACGCTGACCCTGAGCCTGCCTGTGGGCCTGCTCCTTATCCACCCCTGCTGGATTAGCCTTCTTTGCCAAGTCACCCTCCTCTAATTTCCATATTCAGCAGCAGCAGTTGATCATCCAGCTGGTTCAAGGTTGGTCCCAGGGAGGCAGAAAGGGGGGCTCCATAGGTTTTCATTCACACTTGCTGATGCTTCAAAATCAGAACACAAGAAATATAAATATTTATCTAATAATATTTTAATTATGAAAAGACAGCTTTCGAGGGGGGGGGGCTGGGGTTGTGGCTCAGTGTTTAGAGGGCTTGCCTACCATGCGTGAGGCACTGGGTTCGATCCTCAGCACCACATAAATGTAAAATAAAGATATTGTGTCCACCTAAAACTGAAGAATAAATATTTTTTAAAAAAAGAAAGAAAGAAA